GGACAAACAAGCACAGATAAATTCTATTCCAACTCTTTACTGATGTAAGCTTGATGGCCCTGAAAAGGGCCGTTTTTATTAAAGAAGACATCCATGGCCACTTACGCTTGGCATGTTTAGTGTAGGTGACAGCATCACGGACCTCATTTTCCAGGAACACCTTCAGCACACTTCTTAGATCAGACCGGAGATACGTTTGACACCACCACGGCGAGCCAGACGACCGATGGCGGTTATCTCGAAGAACTTTGCGATGACGCTTGGCGCCTCCTTTACCAGACCTTTTCCTCATTTGCCACGACCAGTCAATTGTTGCTTGTTAGGTGTGTGGACTAGCCACCACCTTCATACTGCTGCTATTGCTGTTCACCACGCCGTCCGATGCGAAAATGTGCTAATGCCATACAGCAGCGCTCTTTTATATCTTTTCAGGTTAAAGCAGAATGATGTGCAACCAAGTGGTATAAAAGCTACAAAGACTCCTCCCATTATGAGTAGTTTGCTATCAAGTAGCGACACTGGCTCTTTTCCTTTTGCGTACACGGCGAACGAGAACGACCCAAATTTGAGTTTAGTTCACTCATAATCGCCAAAAGTGCAGGAACTCAGCGATGAGTAAATTTGTCTCATGGTTTCCTGTCGAAAACCTAAAAAATCTGCCAGAAAATTAGGAAATTGACGAAATTTTTATTCAGTCTCGAAGTAGTACCAATAGACTGAGTGAATCCAATCTTTTTTTTTCTCAAATTCGGGAAATATGGACAAACAGTCAGATAAATTCTATTCCCACTCTTTACTGTAATAAGCTTGGTGGCCCTGAAAAGAGCCGTTTTGTTGCCAAAGGTGGTGATGATTTAACTTAACTAAACTTGAATTATGCAAGTATTTCCTGATTCTAGATCTTGATTTTGTTCAAATGCATTATCGTGAAACTTTTTTGATACAAGATCATGAGGATTACTTCAATCTCTATATGTTGTCATTGTTCTATGATATTTTTTTTTAAATTCGTTTGAATTTAAATTTGTAAGTGTTAACTTTCTTCTGAGATCTAAAATCTTGCTATTTTTTAGGTCATAAATAATGGAAATAGATAATGATAGAGAAATTGATTCATGATTATGTAGTCAAAATACTTAGATTCGATCCCATTAAACAAACACCAATCTGCATACTAACATGGAAAATCAACAATAACAGCACTTGATACACTTGTGATAAAAATTGAATAAACGTTTGAAGCCAAAGAAATTATGTTAGCTGCGTTTCTAGATACTGAAGGAGCATTTGAAAATGCATCTCATTATTCAATGAGAAAAGTAATGAAAAAACGTAATTTTCATAAAACTATTATAGATTGATTGATTGATTTATATTTCCCTCCCCTTGGCTAGTTTTTGCACCTTGCTGTTGGTGGGCGGGCTTAATTTCATGCTTTATAGTGGAGTGTTGGAGACGGTAGGTTTATGGTCGGTGTTGCTGGCTCATGCCGCGATAGAATGGCGACATGGGCAGGCGATGGGGATTACTAAGCTTCCCCTCTCTGATAAACCGCTGCATGAGAGAACCAAAGATCTAGTCTAGCAGTGATAGTATCACACTTGTTACTCCTTTTATTGAGAGCCGCGTCGTAGTACGCTTACGTATAGGCACTGACGTTGGGTGTGATACTGGCGGGTTTTGCCGCAAATCACTCTTATTTTATTTATTTTTTACGCAGATAGATTTATTTGGGTTTGCAAGGGAATTATACTATTGAAATATTTCAGAAAGTGCCCAACAGTGCTCCTTCTATTTGCGTGACAAGCTTTCATTGTTGTTTTCATTGAGGTATTACTCAGAAAACAATGTTAAACATCATTTTTGTACATGGTATTGTAACTAATCTTATATGTGCTTCATTTTGATTTGGGATAAGTGTTTGAACTATGGCTCGGGATTTCCACTGTGGTGTGCTTCTATTGTGACATGCCCATATGTATTTTTGTGGTGCCACATAGTGGAAATGTGAGAGCGTAGTTGGAACATTTACCCTATACAATATACAATTTAAAATTAGCTTGGAAACTAACTTCAAAGTGAAGCATTTTAGTCACTTGAAGGTGTCATCTGGGACGAACAAAGATATAAGATAAGATATGTAAAAGCCAGAAGTACTTGAAACACGTTAAATTGTAGTTTAAAAGCATGGATTATGTAGGTAGATTAGAGATTTCAGTTATTTATTAAATAAACTTCAATTATAGAATTCAGAAAGATAATTAACATAAGAGATAGGACGCGGGGGGTCCGCTTAGGGAGGCGACTAGCCTATGAAGTTGTTTAATAAATCTTCCTATTTAGTGTATTTGTTAATTACAGACAATGTCAATAGCGAAAGTCATATCTTCAACCAGGCGCTTACGAACAAGTGAAATTTTAGGAAAGATGTGTTAAATATGTTGATAGGTTTGAAATAAGAATTAGGATTATTGTACTTTAGTTTTCGGTAAGGTATGATGTGTCAACAAAGCCCTTTTGAGCAAATTTTCAAACATCAAATTGATTGAGTGATTTATTGAAAGACATTGCGTTGCGAAAATTGACAAGTCATACATCTAACATAGTAGGAGTAGCAGTGTCGCATAATCTTATCACAATTACTGCAAATAGTGCTTGAGGGGCCAGCAGGGCTGAATACGGATCAAAACTAACATAACTACTAACACTAAAATGATCCCGGAACTAACACTTATCCATTGCACTTTTAGTTATTTATTAGTTTTATTTTTCTACTAAGTCATCTATGCTTCTTTCTATTGTTTGGATCAAGTGCAACTAATACTAATCTACCTTTATGTATGTTTTACTCCCTTTTAACCCATTATCTTTGTGAATGGCGAATCATATGACGTGAGACACGTACAAGCTGGAACTCAAAGAATTACTTCGAACAGGATGTCAAACAAATTCAGGACCAATCCAAATGAGACCAGAAACCAACAAAGCATCGAGGAGTTATATATTCTGGGAGAGTTATTTGATAAATAATCAAAAAGTGGTAAGTTAAAATCAGAGCCAAGGATCATGAGAGGTAATTGCCAATAATTCATTAATTAGTAGAAATCTCGATAACTTTTTCAAGGGAGCGTATCGGCTTTTGTAGGCGGTGCGTTTGGTCGTCGATTTGGCTTAACTGGTGGCTCACCCACGCGGGCTGGCACTATCATCAGATAGGGGAAATTTTCCTCTACCTGCTGGTGGTGTTGATAAGCGTGTGCGAGCTGCCGGTTGCGCCGGATCGACGATCGGATGCATTGTTTGCAGGAGCTGGTGCTTCCCTTTGAAAAAGTAATCGAGAAATAACCATATTATCCCGTAATTGATATTACTATTTTTATATATCAATGAAATTAGTCATGACAGAGTAACAGATGGGGAAGGACAATAGACACAAGTTGACACAATAAACAAGACAAGTGGGGGTTAATACACAAGACAAAATTACAAAATAAGTGACGACAGAAGACAAGACTGGGACGAAAATCAACCTTTTAAAAAAACAAGAATGCGCAATTATATTATCAAAACTATTTGGATCAGCACAAAAACAACAGTGACCAAACGGGCACCATAGCCTAGGAACGTCTGTGTGTTGATTTAAAATAGAGGCTCATAGAAGCAAAATTTACCAATAAAAGGGGTCCAGTGTAGAGTTTTAGCAAGTTGCTGCCACTGGATCACAAAAAAAAAAAAAAAAAAAAAAAGATTGATTGATTGATTTATATTTATTAAGGAGGCTTTCAGCCTGAGGCTGGTTCGCCTCCAACGAAACTATTATAGATTGGATTTTGGAAATGTTGCAAAAACGACAAATAAAATGCAGTCATGGTAGATAAACGGTCACGGTGAGGACTGTTAAGGGCTGCCCACAAGGAGGGGTTCTTTCACCTTTGTTGAGGTCACTCGTAGTCGACGAACTGCTATTAGATCTTGAATCGCAAGGATTTGAAATAATTGTTTTTTTTTTCCATGACATAGTAGTCATAATACGTGAAAATATGAACACTTAATCAGAGATAGGTTACAATATGCTCTTAATTTAACGATGGCGTGGTGTAAAGCTGAGGGGTTGTGCATAAACCCTCATAAGACTACTGTTATACCATTTACACATAAAAGGAAAATAAAAATACTTGGAGGAACCTAAATTAGTCCTTTCTCCAAAGATTAAGTATCTGGGAGTAATTGTTGATCGCAAACTCAATTGGAACTTGCATTTGGATCAAATAATGAGTAAGGCTACAAATGCCCTATGGATACGCAAAAAAATGTTTGGTAATAAATGAAGACTGAAAACAAAAATGATCTATTGGATCTATACGGCTATAGTAAGACCCAGAATAACATATGTATCACTAATTTGGCGTGGCTTAAAATAAAAGTTAAACATGCTCAAAAAAAAACTCGAAAACTTGCAAAGACTTGCTACAATTTCCATCCCAGGAGAAATTCGTAGCAAACCCTCTAAAGCGCTAGATACAATGTTAAATCTTCTTCCCCTACATTTATTTGTGCAGTAAGAAGCCGAGAAAATCTCACTAAGGTTAAAAGAACAAAACAGTTTTTTGATGGGACCTTGTTTGTAACATCTTAAGCTAGCATTTGGACGGTGCGCCCCCAGATTTCACGACAAAAATGCTATTTTGAGGATTTTGGGACACCCTACCGAAGAGGTTCGATCGGGTGATCGGTTACAGTGTGAGGGTTCCGAGATTTTTTGATTTTTGACTGTGATACAAAATAACTGGTCGACATATGGTATTGACTAGAATTTCAGTTGCTTTATTTACAAAAATTGTCAAAAAGTAGTAAAATATTCCCGCAGCCTTATGCAATGATTAAATTTTGACCCGTGATAAAAAAAAAACAAAAAGTTCTCAACATAACATCTAGCACTTTAAAAGCTGTACACAAGAATCTGATTCTTATGCATTTTCAAGGATACAGCATCTTTCATCCCTAATTTGACAAACACTAATAATACATTCTATCAATCATGAACTTTTACTATTGATTCGCTTCTTTGCAAAGTATTGATATAGTCCAATGAAAGAGGAAATCGTTCCAATGAGACCTACTTGCCAGGATTCAAACTTCCCTCCCCAGAGCATACCTTTCGGCAGTGTACTTCCAGCGTGAACCAAATCCAGCGAAAGCCTCATGATGGAGATCAGTTCCATGCGTTGCTTTATCAGAAGCATCTTCACGGCTTGGCTGTAAAGATAAATTTAACAGTATGAGATAATGTAGAGAAGGACTGCAAGCATTCAAGGGCGTACCTGGACTCATTTTCCGGTTTGTTAATGTGCGTTTTATGTTGTTCCATAACGGTGTAGCTGCGGATTGTTCTGTTTCAGAAAGATGCATTATTAGTAAGGGGCAAGGTTAATACGAATCTACATTACATTATATATTTGACTACACAGCAAAAAAAAAATTGTTGAATATTACGTCGAATCTGCTGCACCCAGGTAATTCCATAAGTTGTGTAATATTATGTTGTACGATGTACACAATTTTACATCCACCGATGTAATATTGCTTTACTTTTTTTTTTTTCAATTACATAAATACTTGATACATCAGCATGAATTACGTCCGATCAAAGCATACTTGTTTTGCGGTTTAGATCAAAATCCAATAACTTCAAATAACAGAACTAGCAAAAGTTCTATTCAACAATGGGGTACAAGTTCACAGGCAATTATTGAAAAGTTTTTTCCACTGGAAATCTTTAATAATGGTGAGAAACACATAAATAAACCGTCCAGATATTGTCAAAACTTGCTGTACAACGAAATCCTCTAAAAAATAGTGGTTTTCCACAAAAAATGCAAAAGGGTCGCAATTTTTACGAAGCTTTTGGCTCATTCTGTTCTATTTTTTTTTATTGTTTAGTGTATGTAAATGCATTATAGACATTTATGAATGATTACATGGGTTTGGGACACGACTCGAACTTTTGCCCCTCCATAGACAATTCCAGCTTATTGATGACATATCAAAAATTTGATACTCATTATAACATCTTCAAATAAAATGCAATCAGGCCCTGATCAATTATCCTTTTACTATTGAGAATTTCATCTTCTACGCCCTCAAAGTTGGTATAAATTTTATAAATTATCATCTCTAAACAGCCTTTTTCCTGTAACTCATCAAAAACATTACCAGTTTTTGCTTTTTTTAATTTGAGCTCTAAAAGACCTTCCAACTACTCTAAAAGAACTAAAAGTGTCAAAATAATGAATTTTATTTTGCACGGGATTCGAAAACTCTAAACGAACTTTTGTCCACTCGAACTTTTCTTCATTCCTTTATTTAACTAGTGCCAATAACCGACAGACATCGATTGCCATCCATTGACGGCAATCGAATGTGCACACCACACCTGCGAAGGATATCGCACCTATTCAACACACATGGGCCGGGACCAACGGCTGTACTTCCCTGCGTGACCAGAGATTTTTATGCCTCAGAGAAATCCCACTCCCAGAACCCAGACCCATTGGGGTGAGAAAGCAGTCACGCTCAGGGCGTCACAATATCAGCTTCAATCGACCAAATCGATGCGACGAAGAGACTGCTGGCTTTCTTTTTCTGTTAAAGTCGAACAGCTTCGCAGCATTCTAGAACCTCAGTCGGCGTGCACAAACAAATGTTCAATCGCTTGTCTCTCTTTCTCCCGTCGCTCCATTGGTCTTCCTTTCAAGCTTCGTCGAAATGGATGAGCGAAAGAGCGCTCGACTTTGATAGTTTTCTCTTTCATGAAACACATCAACAGAGGTTTCATGACGTATATGACGGAAAATGAAATAACACATTTAAAGCATTTCTCACGTCAAAACACTTGAAGATTACACGTCATATTTATAATTTATCTTCCATCCATATATTTATCTAAAAAAAATGATCGAAAACGGGACATAACGCATTTTAAACAAATTGAAAGAGCGGCGATAGAGTGTTCGTGAAAGGGGATTGAAAGCCATAATGAAGTTCGTTTAACTAGAAAATCGACGTTATTTACATTGAAAGCGATGAGCAAAGCAACGACGAGAAGTTCCACAGCCAGCCTTTCCTTCCAAGCGTCCTTCTTTTTTATTTTCGTTTCTTGCTGATAGTCTAGCTAGGCGTTATAGAAATGAAGCGTCGAACACGTATGTATGAGAGAAACAAAACACGAGTTCATTTTAGAGCTTCGAAATTGTAGAGCCCTGGTCACGCTTACCACTACACCGCCGGCGCCGGCCACTCGAACTTTTGTAACTCTAATTAAAAAATAAATCAAAATTTCATACATTTTTTTTTTAAACTGAATTTAAATCTTAGAGTTCTTTTAGCGGCGCCGGTGGTGTAGTCGTAAGCGTGATAACCTCTCACACCATCAGGCCTGGGTTCAATCCAAATCGGCGCCGCCGGGATGCGCTGAGGCACACATCTCTGATCACGCCTTCCCTTCGGAAGGGAAGTAAAGCCGTTGGTCCCCGGTTCATGAGCTGGTGGTTCGATAGGCAGGTGTGGAGCTGTCTCCCTGGCATCGGTAGCATTGGTGCTCAGCACGGCATACAAGATCGACGGAAAACAAATAAAGGGAAAAAAAGCTTGGACTTTTTTAAGATACCAAGACTCCGAAGAAATCCTAATATCCAAAAATAAGTGGGATAAACAAACAAATCGAAGTTAACAAAAGTTTGAAAACCCAGGAAATTCGGTACAAGGACTATGGGTTAATGCCTATTCATCCGAATTCTACTCGATCAGTAATTCCCTTTTTACATAGTGTTCGAATCCGATCTGAAAAAAAAAATAAATTTTTGCTCGACAGGGCTCAAACTCAAACTCATTTGGATGTAAACCAAATCAAATGGTTTATAAGTTATAAGAAGTTTATAAAAAAATCACTATGGGAAAAAAAAATTTCTAGCCTTTTTCAAAATTACTTCGATAAAATTTTCTATAGCTATTCTTATAGTAAATATTCTCAGCTACAACTTTGTTGAACATCGTTTTTCAGCCAAACTGCTCATGTTAAATAGTTATTAAATATTGTGGGCAACACTGTACATGTAAGCAGGGCTGTGGAGTCGGGTTGGAGTTGGAGTAGGACGCATTTTTAAGCATAAGGAGTCAGAGTCGGAGTAATATAAAAAGTACTGCGACTCTGACTCCGACTTCAAGTTTCACGTTGGCGTGTTGTAAAATTATTACTCTTTTCCAAATGAAAATGGTTTAAAAGGCATATAACAATTATATCCTAGCTATTTTTGTGAAAACAAGCAAATGAATCAAATATATAAAATCTTAAACAAAGGAATTTCCCTAAAATTAAACAAAAAATTGCTGCATTATTTAAAGCGGATTTTACAATCAATTGACGGTTTGAAATTTTAAACTTTAGTACATAGCAATTTAAAATTTAATACAGTCAACTCTCCCTTACTCGATATTTAAGGGACCATAGAGGACCATAAGGAAAAAAAGTGGAAATTTTCTTGGCAAACCCAGTAAATTTAGCGCAAACGAACTCAGGTAAGTTTAAATAGATTTTATATATAGAAGAAAATAAAATAAAAAAAGAATCTCATGTGTTGAAAAATTACCGATAATAGTAGTTACTCCTATTTGTTTCAATTACATAATTCATCAGATAAAAAATGGGGACAATGAGGTTAGCTTCAGTTAGCCCAAAAACCTCGAGTTCAGTTAACTAACCAAATTCGGTTAACCTCCAGGGGCAAATCATGAGCATCCCGACAGCAAATCCAAAGGTTAGTTTTAGTTAGACACTTCATAAGAAAAAAATGATGAAGAGAATAACACAACGAAGATATTCCGGTCAGATTTCCGGATCCGGTAGACTGACAAGAAAAATCGATTCTTCAGTGCACGGGACAAATGCCAGGTTTACATAACTCGGTAATCATGACAGTAGTAAGTCTCCTTTCTTCTTTAATTTCGTTTTCAATAATTAAATGTCATGGTTACCTGTGATTTATCAAAAAACGTTAATATTTCTAGATAGAGCTGGAATAAGGGCCTAGCAGCTTTTGTAAGCAATGGCTTCTCTCGATGATTTCTAGGTATTCAAGGCACGTCCACGCAAACCAACATAACCTTCAGGTAGTCTTCTCCTACCGGATGGTGATGTAGATTTACGTTGGCGAGCCTTGATTGTCTAGAAATCATCGAGAGAAGTCATTGTTTACAAAAGCTATTACGCCCTAATTTCAGTTCTATCTAGATTAACACTGCTTGCATCGAAGAATTTCGTTTTATGGGATATAGTCCCTTTCATTTGACATCGAGTTTGTTAAATGTGTTGCCATAATAGTAAATGTCCTTGGAAAGAATAGATAAAAGATTATTTCGACACAGTGCTATATTTACTTCCGCTCTACGCTCTTCGTTTTTGTCAGAACTGAGTTTTTTAATGGAAATAGTAGCCAATCACCCATATTTTCATAATACTGGATGACCTCAAAACCTTTGTGCTGAAAAAGTTTGGTAAAGAGCCAAATGGGGTGTCCCATCACATAACAGCCAATCATACACGCAATTTTATCGGCTTGCTTATTTGTGTGATTCTATAACATTCCCCAGAAGTACCATTCCCCAGAAAAAATGATGATATTATATATTATTGATATATTGTATATTATATATTATTTGATTATATTATATTATATATTATATAACATAGTATATTATATATTATCTATTTTCTTTATATATTAAAAGAAGGGAATGTTCCCTTCTTTATGATTTACCCAAAGAATTTATTAATTCCTTTTGTTATATTTTCAAAGGAGGGAATATTCCCTTCCTTACCATATATTTAACAAATTAACGATGTTCTCTTTTATATATTCAAAGAAGGGAGTATTCCCTTCTTTATCGTATATAAAAAAATAGTTATTCCCTTTTGTTATATTTTCAAAGAAAGGAATATTCCCTTCTTTATCACATATTTAACGAATTAATTATGTTCTCTTTTATATATTAAATAAGGAAATATTTCCTTCTTTATCGTATATCCAAAGAATTAATTATTTCCTTTTCTTATATTTTCAAAGAAGGGAAAACCCCTAGATGCATTAAGGCCTCTCAAAACCCCTTGACCCATTAAGAAGCTTTTTTTTCTTATTTTTATATACGCCAAAGAAGATTCCAGGAGTGACTATAATAAACAAAAGCAGTCAATCTAACACACGGCATACTTTTCTGGGGAATGGTTCATTCTGGGGAATGGTTCATTCTGGGGAATTGTTTTCTGGGGAATGTTATAGAATCATTTGTGTTAAAGGATGTACATGCGACGAGCGTCAGTATAGTAATTATATCAGAAATAACATTTGCTTTGAAAAGTTTCTGTATTGTAGAACATGCTCTTACAAAAGTAGGAAGGTTCGAAAGGTTTAAACCCAATTTTCAAAGCAAATGTATTAACCATTATCATTTGAATTTTTATGTTTAGCAACAACATTCGCCTATTTTTTAAAGCTCAAATGAAATTCAAAATCAGCTAGCTGTTATCCTTTCATGTGTCGATAACAGTTGGTCACGTGTATGAACCGAAAATATAAAACCGAACGCCGCCATCCACATATGATAAAATATATATCTTCCACCCACATAGTAACGGATTCCAAAGGTAGGGGATTACCGATAAAAAAAATTCACAAATACCAATGTAAACATTGACCGTCGGTCAAAGTTTCCACATGCTATTCTATAATTTTCAATACCGCGAACAGTTTATTCAACACACCATATTTGTTTAGCACCTGTAAGTAGTAACTGGTGAGCAAATAACGCACCCTAACCAGGCGCCAATTATTGAATTCACAGGTTCGTTTGAGTGACGGCAATCGTGCCGCTTTTTTCATGAGATAAGAATAAATCTATCTGATTCAGCAAATTTTATCAGATGGATTAAAGCAAACACCTCGCGTAAATTAAGTTGACTTCGCTAAATACGTACAATGATAAAAAAAAATGTCAAAAAGTTTGTGACTTACTTCATAAGGTTTAGATAGATGGATGCCACCCAAAAGATGGAGTTTGCTGTGTCCCATTTGGAAGGGTTTTCTACATTGAGCAGTTTGTATTCAATCATCCAGCAGATTTTGTCCACTGGATAGTACACGTGGTCAATGATATTGGTGATGAAGCCAATTAGGCCCATAATCCTGTCCGGTTCCTATAGAAAGCATTCTGTTGTGAAAAGAGATCATCGAATAATCAAATACATTTATCATAATACCTTGTTGCCAATTCCGTAGCTGAGTGAATAGCTTAGCATGGGCAAATCGTCCAAAAGCCGTAGCGTGGCTCTTGTTTGGGACATTTTGGAGCTGAAGATGGCCAATTTCTTTGCGAAATCTGGATCTTTGCTCGCATACATCCCAGATGCTAGCTTTGTGGTATAACATAGCGTTCTTACAATCTGAAAGAGCAAGACCAATGATGAGACATCAGAAACAGTGTTAGAGGTTGAGCTTCTTTTTTTTTTTGGCGAACGCGGAAATAAGAAACCGGTCTTCTCATGAGCACTCAACATACGCAAGCATTTGAACTTGATCTCTTTGAATTGTTTTGGCTGGCTGGCGAAATATAACAACACAAAAAGTGAAAGTAGTTCTCTGCTACGTGGAACTCCTGTACGTACCTTGTCCCGCCCTGTGTAGGTATCCAGCATATCACAAACCTCGTTTAATACTTTGCTCATTTTGATTGATTAGCTCTATAATTGCACTTTTAAATAACGTTGTTTATCCTCTGCAAAATACAAAATGCAACCCAAAAAGCACGTAAGCGTAGCGATGCGTTGCTTTTAATGTATTTACTCACTACAACGATATAATTAACGATAGAACACGAAATTCGTTTTAAACTCTGAAACAATGATATCTTCCCGAGATACCCCCACGCGACGGATTCAAAACGATAACCACCACAGCCTATCGACAAAAATCGACTGACACTGATTGCAGTAAAGGATCACAGTCAAAGGTTTGTTTACCACCCCATCCACCTCGACACCCTGGTCGACGATATCAAATGATACGGTATTATCTTCCGCTTTGAGCTAGGGTAAATGATGATGTTGCTTATCATTGGTTGTTATTCAGAGAGGTAATAATCTTTTAGTGAGATATTTATATACTTATGCTCGAGCTAAAAAGCTTGTATAAATTACGATCCATTATAAAAAAAATGTTTGGACTAACCTCTTAAATAAAATGCCAACCAAAACAGCATAGTTTGTCAGTCCACTGTTCACAAATGTTTCGCTTCAAAAAGCGACTTATTAAAAATTTAAACTTTGGCCGTACTTTGCGTACTGCTAAAAATTGGTTGAACGCCAATCCTTTTTTAACAGTGGACAAAACTTATGTACTTGTCAATCGGTGATCAAGCGATCACTGAGCGCACACAGTGTGACCTTTGTGCCAAGTGTAAATTCACTTAATTTCTTCAGAAGTGTAAAAAAATTTTTGAAGAAATACATTGCATCCTAGTTTTACACATCCAGTGCCTGTTGAAATCGTGAACTACTAGTGTGTTCGCTCATTCAAGCCATGAGCAAGACACACAAATCTTGAATGAATTATGTTTACATTATTAGATAAAGGTGATGTAGGTTTTGCACATGATTTTTTTTTTATGCGATCTCTATCAACATACTCTGTTCGATTCAGGATCTGCTACCTTAAAGTTCCGCTAACACAATGCTGGTTGTATTGGTCACCACATAATTCATTCATCCGTCGCTCGCTTGGTCACACTACAAGTGCCGTAAACGCATACCTGCGTATACCATTCGTTGTATGCGTACAATGTACACGTGATTTTGACACAAGAATGAAAACTCAGTGTGCCTTATCGGCCAAAATGAAAGATTATTACAAAGTGACATCTACATGTGGGTGGTTCGATAAAAAAAACATCCACCTCTAATGAGGTCTAGTCAACATCGAGATATTGAGAAGCGAATGTGCCATTAAGGTGCTTTATTTTGAAAAAAAAAGAGTTTGCAATCATTGCATCAAATCCAGTTTGATGAATAACCACATAATATGAACCTGTATGATTATAATTGCAATGGCTATATTGTTTATTGCTTACTAGGTGAGTGTGTCCAGCCTTGCTCGGGATTCAATATTAGCTTGGGTTTATGCGCCGATTCGAAAAAGCATACTATAGTTTTCTGTTTCATTTGTATGGGAGCCCCCTCCCCCCCCCCCTCCTACAAGGGGGGAAGGGGTTTGAACCATCATAAGAACCTTTCCTGGCCCCAAAATCTGGATACAAATTTTCACGCCGATCGGTTCAGTAGTTTCCGATTCTATAAGGGTCAGACAGACATACTGAAATTCATTTTTATATTATATAGATTAGTCAATAGGTAAAATGTTCGCCCCAATGCTACAACTAAATACTAAACATACAAATTAACGGTAGGGCAATGGTGAGCCAACTAGGAAGGGGACCCCGGTTCATATACTGCGATCTCATGAATTGACCACTTTGTCAAGCAGTTTTGGCGTGCTACAATGTTCTACAATGTGCGTCGTTCTACAAGCTTACTGGTATAGTCGAAAGCGTAGATAGAACACGAAATAAAAAAAAAGACAAAAAACCATTACATCGCCTGCATGGTCAATTTCTAACATTCGTTGCGGTGTTCATGAACAGAGGATGATAGGAAACGGAACTAACATTCATTGTAATAGATTTTTGATTTGCGTGTATACTGCGATCTCATGAATTGACCACTTTGTCAAGCAGTTTTGGCGTGACAGCGATTGCACAAAACTAGACCAACTAATTTCTAGTTTTTTATGAAACGCACAAATTTTGGCTACTTTTTTAGAGGTTCTAGAAGAATAAAATTCAAAATAATGTTTTATTTCAAAGTTCGAGGGGTACATCATTTAAACTGCTCGAAAAAGTGGTTAATTTCAATAAGTATACACACGAAATTATGATGTGGTTTGTTTTGATTTCACCGGCAGTTGAGACATGTGATTTTTGAACATTGATCCCATGAAATGCGAATGAAATTCACAGGATATCATGGTGAATGGCAATTGGCAAAGTTCATATTTGAAAACACATGTATGGATTTTTTTTGAGTGTATGAGGAGTGATAAACATACACGGAAAAAGTTTTCATGTAGTTTCTATTGGGAATGCACATAATATTTTTCCATTAACAAAACCAATGATATCTATCTGAATTTCACATAACATTCATGTGATCACATGAGTTCTATATGATAAATCACTTAAATTTCATTTGACTCATAAGGTTCATGTGATTTTGTGATGCAATTCCCAATTATGTTATAACATGAAAGTTATGTGAAATTCTAATGAATATTTTCCATTGGATATGTGATTTGATTTGATCATTGGGTGCTACACACTTCGAAAAAAAAACATGTAAATTTAGGTGCTCTGAGAGTGACATATACGAGCGTCAATTTTGACATAAATTTGAGTCATAACAGACGTGAAATATAGCTCAATCAAACGCACTTTTCGTCGAGCAACGAATTTTTCAGTCTTGGAGCACTTATTATTACATGACATGTTTGTTTACGTCTCATCTTTTGTGACAAAAATGGATTCCGTTACGTGTAAAATTAGTTATTTCTAAAGGGCCACCCACATTAGATCCGTTTGCGTTGCGTTGACGTAAATTTGACAGTTAGACAATAGATTTAGCTGTCACTTTGCCGCATCGCGTCCGATCCGGATCTAATGTGCGTGGACCTTAAGTGTGTAACTGATACGAGAAATATTCCTCTGCGTGCTGGTGTCGTTCATTTTCATAAGTGAGCATTCATTCGCGAGAAATCGACGACTAAAGCCATTATTTACAAATGCAATTACGCCCCTTTGAAATGCTGGCACTGATATTTTTTATTCAGTATAAATGTGTTTTAGGGAAGGTTCATTAATTATGTCACGCAAATTTGGCCCATTTTCAACCCCCATCCCCCTCCCTTTTTCACATTTCCAGAACAACATGTGAAAAGGGCATACAAGCTTTTTGTAAACAAACCTTTGTAGGCCCTTTTCTCACCAACCGAGGGTCGCCCACGCAAACCAGCAATATCATCGGGAAGGGGAAAGTGTCCCCTACCCGGTGATGTTAAAGGTTTGCGTTGGTGTCATATGGGTGGCGAGAAAAGGGCATAAGAAGGTTTGTTTACAAAAAGCTTGTATGCCCTTTTCACATGTTGTTCTGGATTTTTTGTATGGACCTTTTTTGTATGGCTCGACACAGTTTCCAAAACACCCCTCCCTCCTAAAAGTGTGTCATAATTAATGGAGCAGGTTGGAAAATGAAAATTAAACGAAAAATTTGTTGATTGTTACAAGTACCGTAAAAAAGCGGCGCCGGAGGTGTAGTGGTAAGCGTGATTACCTCTCACCCCAGCAGGCCTGGGTTCAATCCCAGTCGGCGCCGCCGGGATGTTCTGAGGCATAACATCTCTAATCACGCCTTCCTTCGGAAGGGAAGTAAAGCCGTTGGTCCCCGGTTCATGAGTTGATGGGTCGATAGGTAGGGTCCAGGTGTGGGAGCTGCCTTCCTGGCGTCGGTAGCGTTGGTGCTCAGCACGGAAAACAAGATCGACGGAAAACAAATCAAGGAAAAAAAAGTACCGTAAAACGGGGGGAAGTTGATATATGTTCACGGATAACCCTCTATATTTGTCCAACCATATGTTTGGTACACAAACAAATACCACTGAAACCTGTACTAGGAAATATTTGTCTGATGTACGAAATTAGTTTTGAAATTGCATGTTTGGTTTATTTTTCATAATCAAAATTAGAATACCAATGCAAAATAACAATTCTAGGGTGAAGTTGATAATGAAGATTTTTATGCAATGCAATATTTAGAAGTTTGCAGTTCATTTTAACAAAATCTGATTTCAGATTGGGATTCAGCGGCCCAAAATTAACTAAAATAAGTAATTTTACCGAACATAGCACCAGAATAAATGCTGATTCAGATAGGATATTTAGGAACAATTAAAAGTTGCGTATTCTGTAACATCCACAAAATTGTACATTAAGAGTGGTAGAACGCACTGTTTGGTAGGGGAAACGTTATAAAGTATTATTTTAAACTACTTAATGAAATACTAAACAAATTACCTTATGACAATAATTGAATTAATTAAATTGAAAATTGAGATTTGTTGTAGTGATCAACTTCACCTAAATGACCAATTTCACCTAAATAATCAACTTTACCCCGTTTTAAGGTAGGTACCTATTTTTATTTCATGTGGGCTAGAATTTTAAAATCGATATCACATCATAGGGGGTCCCTCAATAAAAAAAAAGCAGACCGGGGCCCCAAAGGTGGTTAAGACGGCACTGGCCTTTCTTCTAGTAATTCCAAGTGTTCAAGTGTATTTACAAGTATATAAGCAAACGACTTTCATAACTGGTTTGAATTATAGATACTATAGATTCCATAGATAAGCGGAGGAAAAGTATAATGTAGCCAAACGAACTGTCAGTTAGTGTAGCCAAACGAACATGACGTCATCATGGTGTTGTTTGAGGGAGAAGTATTGTAATAGTACGTTTAGACTACAGAGTTATAACATGTTATAGCGTTATCTTGATGGTGATTTCCGTGTTGCAATTATTTGACTACCGTTATAACAACAATCAATACGAAACTAACGATTTTAAATTGGCTCACCACTTTAGTAGCGTATTGGTCCCAAGCAAACGATTAACGCACCCTATTCTAGTCGAAATTCTAGTACTACGCAATGTTTGTTTTGATTCGCTATGAAAGTTTGACAGATAAAATGAGGGGTTATTGGTTGTTCCTATGTTTCGAGGGGTGAATCGATTAGCTTGGGACCGAAGAGAGTACCAGAGCTGAGCCAAAAAGTTGAGCTCGTTTCTTCGGGACCTTCTGGTCTTAGAGTTACCTCTATGGTTATAACATGTTATAACTCTCCCGTCTGTACAGCGTTGAATATTATGAGCACAAAACGCTTTCCACACTCCACATTCCGATTTATTTCGCAGACAACGGAAGAAGGAAAGATAAAGCAAACCATTCCTCGAAACATTGTTGCAAAGATTTGCTTTGCACTTCATTTTGAACTTTTACGCACGAAACAAAACAAAACTGTACAACGAAGAGCTGTATGATGGCATGAACTTTTTTGACGGATGCCAGTAAGATCATTTATTTTTCATGGTGGCCAAAACAACTTTTTGTGCCTCCGCTTATCTATGAAATCTATAGTATCTATAGTTTGAATGGGTCTCTCTACCTAGGATGACGTAGACCGAACCGGATGATTTTTTGCTTAATAGCAAAATGCGTTGAATTTTATTGTGTTTATAAGGAAACCAGACACGGGGCGCATAATTGAGCAGTATAAAGCTTTTAAGCAGTAGACGTCCTTGAACTTTTTAGCAAAGCGAAATAAGAATCCCAGTTGCGATGAGGCTTTATATACAACGTACGCGACGTGATCCTTGAAGGTCAATTTTGTATCAACCAGAATCTCCAAGTCCTTGACTGTCAGTGAAATTCGATTGATATGACAACATTCAGCGAAGGCTTCCAGTTTTTGTTGCAGAAAAAGTGTGTCTTGTGGTTGTTGAACCGTATAGTAAAGTTTCAGATTATCGGCATACGAGAGTTTTAGACACTTCAAGGTGAGATTGACATCGTTCATGTACAGCAAGAATAGTAACGGTCCCAAGTGACCGGACCAAACCGATGAAATATTGATAAAGGGGTTAGGGGCCGCCCAAAAGTTTGAAGTTTGTATAGAAATTTTCATGAATAACTTATAGAATAGGAGATTATTGTACCTCGTTCACACCAAATCTATTATTGATTTGTGCACGGTGAAATAATTTATATTATTGATCTTTTCCAATAGATAGAACGGAAATGGGCGATTACGACGAAGTAGCGATCTACCCAATACCTTATTTAGTTTCCAAGGAGATGCGCGTATCCGGTCAGCCTTATGGCAGTCATTATAGCGTAGACAACATGTCATACGTGACAGCAGGCCCAGCACAGCACAATGAAGGACTGGGCCCGGTACATGCTGCCTACTGTCAAACTCTGGTTTTGGTATGGGGCTGATTCGGCTAGAGGTGGCTATGATCAAATAAATTTGCGATATTCGGATTTCATATAAACTAGTGCATTTTTAGTCCAGCTCTTACAGTTTATAATAAATAATTTTATTTGTTTTTATAATGAGACTTTAAATAATAAAATAATTATTAAAATAATAAAGTTCATGAAAGATGTTAATTGAGATGATTCCAATCATAGTTGTAGATGCTGTTGCTGTTGCTGCTGGTACTGCTTCTTCCTGTTGCTTTCGCTCATTGGTATCGTCATCATCATCATCATGATTCTTGCTTTGTTCGCTGCTGATTGGAGGAATAGTATGGAAATGGTAGTAGAAAAATAATGCTTCCGACTTAATCAATAGCTCTAAAAGGAAACCGTTGACGATCGAACATTTATTCTTCCTCCTCCTCTTCTTCCTCTTCCTCTTCTTCCTCCTCTTCCTCCTCCTCTTCCTCTTCCTCCTCTTCCTCCTCTTCCTCCTCCTCCTCTTCCTCAACCTAGACAATGGAAAGTAAATTTTAGATGCGCTTCACCTCGAAACCAAAAAATAGCAATTCTTACAACTTCCTCGACGACCTCGATTTCCTCGATTTCTTCGTCATCAGGCTTGACCTCGTCCTCGCCTTCTGGGGTCTCGGGGTCTCCTGGCTTCTTGCCTGGTCGCTCTCCGAACCATTTTGGAAGTTTGGCTGTTAGGAATAGAATTTTGTTCATGTATTACCTTATATGACGGACCATTTAGAGCACAAAGGACATAGATAGACGACGTTCAACAGACACGGAGTGTGTAATACGATACGAATATGTCTTTTAGTGCGTGTTCGATTGATGCAGCCCCTGAGGTATGTGCTTGGTTATGTGGGTTATGGTGAATACTTACATTTCTGGCGACCAACGTACTGTTCCTTCCTCTCGGACCACATCTTTTCGAGACTTTCTTTGTTTAGATTGTCAAATCCCTGTACAGATACGGTGTGTTAGGAAAAACAGAAAATATAACAGAGAGTCACAAGTGAGTTTTGTATATGCAGTGCACGAGTTTCTAGTGGCGAGTTTGAGTTTGATGTATACAATAGACAATGAAAGTTGATTATTTATGCTCGAACAAGGAAGACGCACAAGACACTATGCATTAGATACAGTTTGATAAATTCAGTTTAACGACGGCACAATTTGTGCTACAATTCCCGCTGGATTAACAATATCGACAAAACTTTGCTGTGAGCACGTGTTCACTTCAAACATTTAACGGAGATTTCTTACACTTGGTTCGTGTCGTCCACAGCTCTTGGCGTTGCGACCATTTTTTGTTCATTTTTTCTAGATAATATGCGCTGTAGCCCTTTTGAATTTACGAGAAGGATAATTGAACTCTGATTAGAAATCTAGTATCGTTTGAATCGGGCTATTTTTTCATTCGTAATCTTGACGTGATGATGCATGGGAGACGGTGATACTAAAATACGTGTCTCAGCAGGCATTCGTGTAAGTTCGCTTGCTGCGTTTGGAGCAAGCGAGCATGCACTTCCGCTTGAGAAACGAATAGCTTTAGATACTTACACCCTCGAAAAGTTTCTTCTTATCATCGTAGGAGCGGGTATCGACACGACGTTCGTATTTGGAGGCGACTTGGATCTTTGGCTATAGTGAGAAATAAATGAGAGATATTAGACGTTGTGATTGGACGGGGCCAAAGAGAAGAAACTTACTGGGTATTTGCCGGTGAGGGCTTCGGGGTCCAGACCCTTCTTCAAGGCTTTGTGTCTCAGCTGCTGCTTTTGTCTTTCCTTCAACTCTTTCAACTATTAGGAATGCAGAGATAAGGCACATAAGTAAAAAAGAATAATATAACTTGCGTGGGCAGAGAATCAACATTTTGCCTATGCATTAGTGCAACTCAATCAAATTTGCAAGAAATGAGCTTACATCGTAGTCCTGACGCTTTTGCCTTTCCTCCAAATCGTACTTCTCGGTCTCCAGCTTGACGATGCTCTCCCACAGCTCGGTGGCCTTGGTACGCAGAGCAGCTGCGCTCATGCCGTCCATTTCCAGAGGCTTGATACGGAAGGACAGGGAGATTTTCTTCTCCTCCTCCAGTTGTTCCTTAGTCTTGTTACGCTCCATCTGAGCATTGGACATACCGAACTGTTGATAGAAAGGAATACATTAGCCAATTTACTCATTAACAAACAGCTGCCAGGACTTACGGAACTGTCCTTCTTGGTAATGGTGAAGTTCGGTCCCTTCTTGTCCTTGTCCTTCATGGCCTGCAGCATCGCCTGGCGCTTCTTCTCGGCCTCTTCGAGACGACGTCTCTTCTCATCGATTTCACGCTGTTTCTTTTCTTCAACCTCGCGCACACGACGTTCCTCCTCTTCCTTCTTGCGCTGAGCCATACGCTGCTCCTCTTCGGCCCGGGAAACCTTGCGCTTGGCTTGTTTCTCCTTGAGTCTCTTGAGTTCATCTTCTTCCTTGGACCGCTGTTTACGCCATTCGTTGATGTACTCCTTCAGCTGTTCATCCAAGTCTGAGCGCTTCTGATCCTGGCGCTTGATGAATTCGGGATCATCTCCCCTACAAATTACGCAACATTTGGGAAAAGCAAATAAAGGTAACGGGAAAACCGAGGGAGAGAAGATAGCGATTAGCAAACCTTGCCAATGTAACTTAAAATGTAATATTGTGTATAAGAAAAGCGTTTAATTGTGTGTACAGAAATTTCATTTATGGTTACAGAGATTATCTTATACTCTTGGTACAAATCCCTCCGTTGTTGATTCGCACACATTCGCAGACACAAAAACACAGCTCCATTTGCTGGACATGCTTATTGTACATAATACAAAAATCAAAAAAAAATGTACGTATACGCTGTAAAAAAAGATATTACTTTAGAAACACACAACCATGAGAATTGTGTTCGACGAACAAAAATAGGCAGATGCTTTCGCTGATTTGGTATTTTTTAATGACAGGGGAAATGATGATGATGATGAAAAGGGAAGGGCTCTCAGGACAAAATGGATTGGAAGATTTCCAGTATTACACACCGAGTCACAGTTACGGGTTGGATAGAATTCAAAAGTCTGGAGAAGAGGTTTCTATTAAATTTCAAGGCAGCAGTTAATGATCGTTTCAAAACTCTTGATGTTGTTTTATTATTCAAAGACTGAAAGTTTTAGCAAAACAAAAAAAAAACTTCCCTCCCCGGGCTGTAAGGTCGTTATTGATGAAAAATTACTACTGCAGTCCATAGTACAGAAATATCTTTATCTAGAAAACTATTCTACTGAGATTTTTTCTGAGTAAATTTTTACTCAATTTTACATGGGAAATGACCAAGAGCGTACCAAGTTCAAATATGCTGTACATTAGTGGTTATTTACGGTGTCTACAGGTTGATTTTAATGAAAAACGATTAGAGTTTTATTTCTATGGTGAAGAAAATTTAATACAATCGTTGAAGCTGCAACATCACAGAATTTTGAAACTTTGTTAAAATTAATTCCATGCTCTACGTCACAACAGTGAAAGCAAGGATGCACATTCCGACATTCTGGGAAATATTCGTTTTTGTGTTTAGGTATTTGTTGAAAGGATTGCATATTACATTGATGAAATTGTTGTATATAGATGTATATACTCCAAGAATTTGATCTAATTTCATATCTTGTCTGATTTAGTTTCTTATTTCACACACAAAAAATTCCTGATTTTTTAAATCAAAGAAAACATCAATTATTTCAAGATTTAAGCACTCAATTTCAAGCTATCTATAAGGTGCGAGATTATTTGTATTATTACTGAGAAGCTGCTCAATTGCTTGCTTATTTATTTTTTTTAGGTGAGCCTCTTGTGGATCAAGGCATAATCAGTCATTTTTTTTCACATTACAGATAGATTATTAAAATAGTGTTTCGTACTCGGGAAACTCAATATTAATTTTTACCAAAAGAAAATACCACACAGAAAATTTGCTGTATGTTTTCCGAGGGAAGTGGGCTGCAATAAACTATCTGTGATAAGTCGATAAAATGTCCACGGAAGTCGGAAGATATCTTTCTGAGAATGTTGGAAAATATCTCCGTCCAAAGATGAGATAATCAAGAATAAATTCCTGGAACATATCGGAAGTCTGAAAAAGACAAGAGGAAGGCATAAGCTCTTCTGATGGAAGTTGGAAGAAACTTCAAGAGCAAACCGATTGAAACTTTTGGAAAAAGTTGGTAAACATTTCCAGGGAAGCCAGATAGACTTCTGAGGGATTTCGGATGAAAATTCCAGGAGAAGTTGGAAGAAACATCCAGTAAATAAAAAAAAACTTCCTGGAAAGTCAAAAGCAAGGTCGGAAGAAATTTCCGGAGGAAGTCCGGAGAAACTTCCAGAGGAATCACTAGAAACTTCTAGGAGAAGTCGAATGAAATCAAAGAAGAAACTTCCTGAAGAAGACGGAAGAAACTTCCTGGGGCAGTTTGGAGCAAATTTATGGTAAATGTCTGAAGTCTGAAGAATGTTTAAAGACATTTCCGAGAGAAACCAGGCACCCTGTTGTAAGGAGCTTTCGAGTGAAATCTTAGCATAAAATTCAGGGAGACAATGAAACAATCTTCCGGGAGAAGTCAGGGAAAAACACCGAGAAGATGTAGCTTGTCAAAGATACTTCCGGGAGATTTCGAATTATATTTCCGGGGTAATTTTAATTGATTTTCCGGTAAAAGTAGGAGACATTTGAGCGAGGGAAAAAATGCCTGGTAAATTGGAATATTTTTTAAGGAGAAACCAGAAGAAACGACATACGGGTCATTTGGCAGAAATACCTGGTCAAATTGGAAACATATTCTGAAGTAAATTTGAAGGTGCTTCCGGGAAAAGTCAAAAGAATCTTTCGGGTGAAGTCAGAAGAAACTTCCGGAAGAGGTCGTAAAAAAAACTTCCAGGAGAATTCGGAATTTACTTTCAAGAGGAAGTCAGCACAATCTACCAATGGAAGCAAGAAGGATTTCCTGGAACATTCGGAGAAGCTTCTAGGAGCGGAATGAAGTTGATATTCCGAGAAAAGTAGGAGAAACCTTCGTGAAGGATCAGAAAAACCTTCCTGATAAATCGGAAGACAATTTCTGGAGTAACCGGAAGAAGCTTCCAGAAGAAACTTCCAGGAGGAAATTTTCGGTGTAAGTTGGCAGAAATTTCCGGGGAAAGTTGAACGACGCTTGTGGGGGAAGTTCAAAGAAACTTCCAAGAGATGTCTGAAAAATCATCCGGGTGAAGTCAGAAAAAACTTCCGAGAGAAGTCGAATGAAATTTCCCGGGAAAGATGAAAGACAATTGTTGGTGAAGTTGGAAGAATATTCCAAACAACAGACCGGGAGAAGTCAGGACAAAACATCCGAGAAGATAGAACTTCTCTAATAATCTTCCGAGGGAAATCGGATAACACTTCCTGCGAAATGTAGATGGATTTTCTGAAGAAAAAAAAATAATTGGAGGGACCTCAGCAAAACCATTCTGAAGTGGTTACGACCCAATATTGTCCCCATCTAAAATATCAATTGGTATTAATATGAAATCTTAAAGCAATTCACAATCTTTATCAAAGATTCGTTAAACGTTTTGACCTGGGTGTGTATAACAGGGTGTTCTCTAGTGCCAAATCGCTGCACTACTACAAACAGAGAGTATCAATTTTATAATTGTATGTTTTGTGCAAGCTGGCATTTATGCATTTGAAGTTTCACGCTAATGCCTAATTCATACTACAGAGTCATAACATGTTATAACATGTTACTAGGCTATCTTGATGACACTTTTTAACTTTTCACGGCTTAACTTTGAATTTTAACAAGAAAGAACACCTGTTTGTACGGGCCGTGGTATTGTCATTATCAGATTTCGGATGTATTAATTACTAGAAGGCATTAAAGACTCAAGACTCATAGCAAAAATTGCGATCATTGGTAGTCAAAAATACGTGCTATTCTCGAACAAATATTCAAACCGGCGTAAGTGTTTTTGTAAACAATGACTTCAAACTTCAATTTATAGAAACTGGTAGCTCGCACACGCAAATCAACTCACCATCAGGAAAATGAAATTTCCCCCCCAAATGATGGTGATACCACTTTCAATATAGGACGTATCTGGGTTTGTTATCAAAGATTCAAACGTCAATTTGGCGAAACTCAGCTCCTCCACGTAAACTAACACCACCATCAGAAACGGTAATGTTTCCCCAACAAGAAAAGCAGTTTTAGTTTGCGTGAGAGAGCTAACAGTTTCGACAAGTTCTCGTTTGAATCTTCGTTTACAAAATCATATACGTCCTTCTGAAAAATCATCCTTGAATTTACGTGTGAAGCCGTTGCTTTCAAAAGCACTTACGTCGATTCGACTATTTACCCGATTATTACGTATTACCATACGATCGCCATTTCCAATTGATTTCGCCAATTCGATTTGTGTTTTTAGATTAGGAAGGCTCCTTTTTCGATTGATCAGATTCGAGATTTATATTGTTTAGAAGAGGAAATGAAAGACTAGAGAAAACAGCAGGTTGCTTGTTAATTGACTGTCTAATCAACCGATGGCTGTAGGATCTCATTCTTTAATTTGGTAAAGATATTAATGTGGTATGACTACCTAATTAGAGATATCCGTCCTACAGCCATCGGTTATTTTGAAATTTCGAAACATTTCCTGATTGCTTTGGTTTGAGTTTCGATAAATCTTAGCATATTAGTTGATTGGCGCACAAAAAGACAAAAGTAGCCATTATTGCAGTTGCGTGTGTGGTGGTGGGTTTCGTGTGCGCAAACGTGTAATGGTCTGCTGATGGTAAATTTGTCTGTTTTACACTTACTCGCTCTTAGCTGCTGGCCTACGGTTACGGATAGTAGTTTATGGTTTGCAAGTTTTTTTTTTTTGTTTGTTTGTTTTTCGGGTGGTAGTCGGTGTTTTTCATGTTCAAAACAATTACACACGATTTGGTTTTTGTCGAGGGATGTTTGATGGTGGTTGGATGGATGTATTTTTATACATGTAATGATCCGTTTGCCGCCATTCAAAACGAGGTTACCAAAGATGGTCGGCAGGTACGTGCGGGCATTCACACACACGGGTTGTGGTGGTTGGTGGTGGTAGTAGTAACAAAATGGTATTTTGTATTTTCACACGATTTTTGGTAGTGAAAACGTTTCAGGATTGGTCCATTTGAGTTTGAAGGTTGACGACGAACAACACAAAAATAAAAAGGGGAAAAATCAAAAACATCTTTAAAATGTGTCTTCATACAAAAAACAATTTCAAATGGTATATCTAACAGGTAAATGTGTACCTTGATTTTCTTACAATCTAATCGAAAGGCTTCAAAATATGACAATTTTTTTCAACGGATCCTCATCGTAAAACGGACAAGCTTCAGACCGTGGTTAATCTTATTGGCGCTCCATCCACCAAAGAGGAGGAGCCCGCAAGACTTTGGGATAAGGATGTAGAGACTGGTCATCATTGGCATTGGTTTTACAGCAACGAGGTTAGTGAAAGCAGACCAATATAGACTTCTTGTCATATTTTGATGCAACTTCCTATTTAAATGTAGTTATGGATATATTAACAGATTATTAATGTTTACAAACAGAGTTAGTACACTATTTACATATATCTACAAAGCATTCTACACTGACAATAGACAAAAGATGGAGAGGTTTTTTGTATGTTTTTAAAATTTTAGGACTAAGTGCAGACGGAGACTGAAGAAGACTGTGCTTTGAAGTAACTGTCTCAGGTTGCTTGATTGACGCATTGGAATCGGGTGCTCAGAATCATAAAAAAGCTAGATTGAATAAAGCCAATTCTTAACGCCTTCCATAGCAACCATCCTAGCAACTCAGACTTTACTGAACAGGAGAATAGACAATCCAACGAACGTAAACAAAAAAGAATTACTGCTCGTAGTGAGCGCTGAAGGCAAATTTCCAACACTGTCCATTTTTCGTTGAAAATTTACCAAGGCAAAACCAAAGATTAATTAGAAAGTAAGGGAAAAGTATTTGAAAAGCGATAAATCAAGCGAGAACCAAATAAATCACTACCCCAATTGTTTGTTCGATTTCAATCACTGATTCAGAAGCGAACAACTTTTTTTTTTACTGGTGAATAGTATTACATTGAGAAAAAAAATGTTTTTTTATGTTTCTTCCTTAAGCAGATATTGATGCTCCAAAAACGTATTATTAAGTGTGGAATTAATCGAAAGCGATTGCTTATTGTTGTATTATTTGTTGTTCAACTGTAGAAAGCTTAAAAGCAGATCGCAAAAATACTTTAACGAAAGGTAGAGAGAGTGTCATTGACTTTTCAAGGTTACCGGACTGTTGCAGTGAAGTTTCACGAACAATCTAATACCGTTTCAATTGAGCCGATAATTAATGACAGACTCTCAATGTTACTCAAAAAATAGTTGACTAAAACTATGAAAAAATAGAAAAATGTTACCGACAAAAATATTTTTCTTCGTTTCTCTCTCTCTCTCAAAATGTCTACCGCATTCTGGCTTGTGGTTCATGTGGATAAGGAAAAGAGGGACTATCTAACGGTACAAAATTTGACTTGGTTGTTTTCTCCAAAAATAAACAAACACTAGTTCGCTTGTTTGGTTAGCTTTTCGAATAATTGTTGTAAGCCTATTGCAAAACTCTAATTCAGATAAAACTAAAAGGGAGTGGGGGTAAATTTTCTAAATCGCACTTACTTCCTGCAAAAAAAGAGAAAATTCTACATTTAGAGTTTATTTCTTCCAGTGCATGGTATTAGAACTTTAGACGTGTGTAGTTGTATGGTTTAAAAAGAAAGGAACTTTGTTAAGTTTGTTAGGCTAGTTTTTCATAACTGCGATTCTATTGCTTACTAGTGTCGCTGTTGGCATAACTGGCTTAGGAATTGAATAATCTGGAACAGTTTTGATTCCTTCTGAGTCGGATGAATTTTGCGTACAAATGAATGAGACAATTATGTTGAAAAGGTTCAAAAATGTCCCAGATCACGCAAGCTGGATAATTACAGTTGGATATTTAACGCTCGGATGGAATTCTACGTTGCATTCGAAGAAGCGTTCAGGCAGCTATGTAATACTTTTCCGATTGAACGGTATTCACTTGGCTAAATGTGAGAAAATACCATTGAAAAAGCAAACTCTACATCGAATAATTATACACTGTTAAAACTATATTGCTATTGACTCACGGTCAATGAATCGAACGCGATTTACACAGAATAAATGTGTATTGGAAAAATCCGAACCAAAACACTTTGCAGCTCTACTAAGCTGTATATATACATCGAACTCGTTCAAGTTTTCTAATCAGAGCCAAAACTAGCAAATATGTAGCAAGTTGTTTTAGAATAGAAAAAAAAGCAGTATAGAGGATAGATTAATTTCGTCTGATTCTAAAGTATCTATTTTGTACAAGATTTCGGCTTGTGGTCATACCGACTACACTTACTGTTCGTGCTGCTCCTCGACGACCTCCTCCTCCTCAGAGCTAAAAAACGGTTTAGAAACAGATTGAAATGAGTAAGCGTGGGATATACAATTTTGATCATCATTCGGTGCCAAATTCGAGGTTGTGGGGTACTTTCTTCTAATCGCTTCTAAATTTGTTTTTCACTCCTGCTCTGGCGGCGCGACGTCGGTTGTTTCTATTGCTTCTTTGAAAATTCAAAACATCAAAACCATTTCGATTTTCGCAAAATGTTGCATTGCAAAAAGAAAACGCTCCCGTTGTATTTTAATTTATACCAGATGGAAAGGGTAAGCTACTTGTGTGATAGGGGAAAACCAAAAGCTACTTGAAAAAGGTGATGTTGGAACAGTAAACAAGGAACAGTAAAAAAGAAACCATTAACAATATAACAAAGCGTGTTTTGTAACTAAATTGCACTCAAAATATAAGGACAAAACCGGTATCGGTAGTGTTCAATGCTATTTTGAATATGTACCGAGTTTTGTTTTCCTGTTATTTCTTAGATTAGAACCTAGAGTATTAAAATATTTTGGATCTTAAAACAAAAGCCATTTAATTGAAACAAGAAACAAACAATAAGGGAAGTTATTTTACAAAAAGGAACGATTGTGAGATAACGGTAATGATAATAACGATTCAGTTTTGTTTTTGTTTTACGAAGAAAAAAAACACGTGGGTTTAACAAAAAGTAACCAAAAACCAGTAGTTGAGATTTGGGACAAAAAGTAACGATAACTGTGTTGAAGTAAGTATAACAATAAAACTCGTATTCGGGTGGATCTGTTTCTGACGAGTGACGACGAAAGACGTCTGTTTTATACTTACGAATACTCTTCATCATCAGACATGGTTGTGGGGTGTGGCTAAACCTGAAAGCGAAAAAGATTGTGTGGTGAGTAATTTGTATGCATTGAAAAATTAATCCAGAGTGATCGAATTCATATCGAGGATAAAATCTTTCTACATTCGGTTCTACTGAAATTTTTCACTAGTCCAAAGGTGATAACTTTACAAATCGATTGCCCGAAATAAGATGATACCAACAAACTTGAAAATTTGAAGTGATAGGACATATCAGCCATCATAACGCCCATCTTTGGACTCTTCAAAGAATCGCCTTAAAGCTAAATAAACATTTTTTTTCTCTTAAATCAGTGATCCAAAGCAACAGTAGTGCCTCAGTGCCTATTCCTATCGAATAGAAAACATCAACAACATCGATGGCTTTACTGTGAACCATATCTCCAAATACTAAGCGAAGCTAGTGGAAGCTACCTAGCCCCCAAAAATATAAATTATTTATTTTCAAAGTTCTAAGTATTACCCATATAATGTCGATAAGATATTGTAATGTAAAATGCAGCGCCGTATTACAGCCATTTGGTTGAACCTAGTTTATGCTTTAAGTGAAGGTGAAGAAATCGAGATTGTTTATTTTTTAGTTATTACAAATGTGCACTATTTCCCATTCTGCCTCGATATTCATTTCTAATGTTCAATCAATTCTTCTGCTTATGTTGATTTTCCTCACGAACGTATTCTAATAGTAATCAAATCATAGATAAGAGTACGATTTTCTCCAAAATATATGGAAGCAAAAGTTAAACGCGAAAGCCCTTAAAATTCTGTTTGAAAACAATAAACTGTCTCAGCAGATATTTTGTTACTAAAGTGACACTTGGGGAAATGTTTGCATTTGACATTGGCCAAAGATTTCACATTTGAATTTCCACTGTTTTTGACTAAAATAAAAGTATTGGAGGACTACGAGGAAAAAAATGTAAAGAAAGCTGCATAACAACAATCTGAGATCACTACAATACGATTTCAATTACACAACACAGCAAAGGGACCAGAAATCACAGAGTTCAGTTAACACAGCAGTGGTTCAATCCGTCGAAGGTTTTGTGGTAAATCGCTCGACGCATCAGTTCTCAGAAGACCAATTGACAATTCTTAACAAGGGATTTGCATATGCGAGCTCCTCAAAACCTGACGTGGAAGAGGCCATCGTTGCCATGGAGACTGCAATCACTCACACATATTCAATTACACGAGACTGCCAGGAATATTATTTCAGAGACTAAATACAAAACGGAAAGGGACATTCACAACCAAAAAAGAGGAAATTTGAATTCTCAAATAACTTAAAACAAAGCCGGTGTTCTATACAAAAGCGGACAAAAGTTAGGCGGTAGTGATTTTGGACAAACAGGACTATGACAACCGGATGACGGAAAAAAATACTAATGACCCATACAGGCAGTTGAGGATTGACCCCATGGTTAAACATGTGGATAAAACGTTGAAAGAGTGCAACACTACGAGTCAATTGAAAGTTCCAAACCCTATTCTACATAGGATCAAAGATTCACAAACCAGGAAACGAAATAAGGATTATTATCTCGACTGAAGGATCTCCCACTCATAAGTTTGCCAAATGGCTAGTAAAGGAATTTCATAATATGCCTAAGCTCTTTACCACTCGCTCACTTCACAGTACACAGGAATTCGCAAATCTACTTCAGGCATCAGGAGAGATTCGGGAAGATGAAGTCATGGTTTCATTTGATGTCACAGCACTTTTCCGAGTGTACCAGTTAAGGGAGCCATCTGCCTTTTAGAGGACTGGCTTCTGCAGCAACGTGAAGATTATACCTGGATAAACAAAGTTTGGTCATTGAGATATGAGCTAACTCGTCTTTGTAGCAGGAAAATGATTTCATTTTCAGAGGATTTTTTATAAACAAACTCCAATGGGCGGATTCGCTTTCCCTATTTTTATGTGAATTGTTCATGGCTAACATAGAAAATATTCTGGAGGATAGGAATTTGTTGCCCAAGTGTTGGTATGTGGATGACATTTTTAGCAATGTTAAAAGGGAAGCTTTATCAAAAATTTTGGAGGCCATATTTACTCACGAAGAAGAGAGAGACGCCAAACTCCCCTTCTTAGATCTTTTCATAATCAGGGAACGGCTTCGTTCAATATCGAAATCTATAGGGAACCAACAAATACAAAGAGAGTAATACCATAGAGGTAACTCTAAGACCAGTACGTCCCAAAGAAACAGACCTTCTAGTCTTAGAGATACCTCTATGGTAATACCGAGCACTTCAAACTATTCCCATCAACACAAAATGGCCGCTTTTCACCACATGATTCACAGGATGCAAACTCTTCCTCTTAGCGATACAGGCAAATCAAAAGAAATAGCTCACATTTTTTAAATCGCTGGCCTAATGGGCATCAAGAAAAAACAATTCAGGCAGTAATCGATAAAAGAACAAGCGACCATTTTAGGCGTACTCTGAGGGTTTAAAACGGGTGGCGGTGAATTTCGACGAAAACAGTACCAAACTATTGAGTTCGAAGTTTAGAAGTTTTGCTCTAGATTTAGTATTCAGCAGCACGGCAAATCAGCTGAAGTCACTGTTAGGATCAACCAAAGATTTAATAAATGTCTTAGGAAAAGCCGGTGTCTACAAAACCTCTTGTCCAGATTGCAATAATTACTACATTGGTCAGACGAAAAGGACTTTGGAAACTAGGTTTAAGCAACACATCGCAGAGGTAAAAAAGGCTAACAAAGAGGTGGATAAAGGATTTCATTGTGAATTTAAATCCAAGGTTGCAGAACATATCATTACAAAGGGGCACAATTTGACAAAGAATAATATTGATATCCTGTGGAGTGTATCTTCACCTTGGAAACTAGACGTAGCAGAAAGTTTCAAAATATTTAAACATAATCCATCAACAATGGGTAATAGAGATCAAGGAAACGGTTAATCGGGACTCTTTAGCATGCTCATATCGTAGCATGCCTCTACCTGATGGGCAGATGAAATTTATATGAAAAATCATATAAAATTCATGTGATCGCATAAATTTTATGGGAAATACAGATAAATGTCATTAATTTTGATAATGGATAAAACTCATGTGCATTTCCAATGGAAGCTACATGAATACTATTTTTGGTGTACTTCTTCATGGAATTATTTAATTTTGAAAAATATATAGATTTTTATACATTAAATTACGTAGTAGGCTCTGGTTTAGTTTGAGCGGTCACGTTATTCACCTGTTCAATGTGTGATTTTTTTCAAAGCCTCGGTAAACTCGTTATATTTGGCTGGGTTCATTGCAGCGTTTGTTTTTGATTCCAAGTCAACCTGGATAGGGATTCCGCATAGCATCTGCAAACGTCAGTAGGATCGTTTATGTTTGTATCCTGGGCTCGGTTCGCACTGACAAACATTTCGGGTTCAAGTGGGTTGGGACTGAACAGGTTCAACACAAATAATACCAATTTTGTCACTATTTTCATCAGTCTTGGCATGAACCCTTGTGCTTTAAATGGGGTTGTGTCAAAACTGGTTCCATTACATGGTTAGGTAAAATAGTATCGACTAAAAAGAAAGTAGGATGCCATTGTTAGATCAAGACTATTGCAATAAATGATGTAGTAGTATCGTACATATTTATCAAATCGTTTATGCTGTTTCTCGAATTGTATAAATGTTTCATTTAAGTCATTCCATTTATTTGGTCATATTCGTTCCAAAGAGTAAGGCTCACCCCCATTGATACCAAAACTAATAGCTTCTTACATCAACAATGACCATTCATGTGGTGCATTAGTTTATTTGATCAGAACTTCATGAACTTTTATAAAATGTTAAATAGTATGATTTTTACTTTGTTTATATGGAACCAGTACGTAGCCTAATGTCTATGACTATCTAAAAAAAAGATATAAAAGAATTAATTAAACTTGTTTTATACAAATGAGCACAGCCGAGCATCAACTTATGTCCATCAGTATGGGAAACAAGTCACACACAACATCTGCTGTATATGTTCTAAGACCTACCCAATAGTTTAAAGTGAAAAGTTTAAATGCTAATTGAATCCCATCAACCTTCCGTCGTGTGTGCGTGGGATGTCAAATATTACCTAATAAAATTCCTTCACAACACGAACATGAAATTTTCGTTTCCACCAGTTGCTGAACCACAGAAACCGATTATGAAAATCCTCCCACCCACAGACACACACGGTTTTCATTAAAAAAAAAATGTGTACGCCTACGCCTGGCGTTTGGATTCGATATTTCAACCTCGAATATTTCATTCATTCATCTGAGAAGAAGATAAAGAAGAAGCAGAAGACCATCATCCTGCCCGACTAGAGTCACTATTTATAATGTTTCGTGTCCGCACTACGGTACACGGTGGTTTGCGCTGAGCCGATTTTTTTGCTAAATGTTTAATTTTAAATCCTTGGGTCTGATTATGCGCATGCGTTATCCCACATATGCAACGTTAAACGTTAGCCTACTGTGTGCTGTTGCGTTGAGAGGTTGAGAATGAGCTACACACCACCAGTTGAGTTCTATTTTTAGGAGGCAAAAATCATAGTTCAAAAAATTTCACCAAGCTCGTTGGTTTGCAATGGACACGAACTTCGTGGGATACACACAATTGTTGAACATATTGTTACACAGATAATTGTAACTGTGCAGACATTGGACCTCTGATCCCCGATTAGGTACGAGCAACTTTCACTAGGTGTGAGTATATGTGCGCGAGTAGAAGAGTGATGCCTATAAATATTGATTTGGGGTAGCGCAGAATCTTACACTTTGCAATGGCACGTTGCCAAATCAGGGCATTCATGCGATTCATCATTGGTGAGTTGGACTGCATTCGGCTATAATTTTCTATTTTCAGGAGAGCAATGTGTGCGAATGCGAAAAATGAGGAATTGGCGACAGCTATCTTTTGGCCATTAATCAGCAACATGTGTTACTTAATCCGATGTCCCGTTAATGAGTGACACGGATCGTTGTGCAATGTGGGATTCATTCACTATGTTATGATTGGGAAAATATTTAGTATTTCTTCAACTGGAACATCTGTGTGCTGAGTTGTGGTAATATTTACAGTATAAGTAATGTTTAAGTTTAATTTTATTTCTCAAAATTCATCTGTCGCCTTGTTTAATGTTTCAGAAAGATAAGGAGGCGCATGGTAAATAAGATTGGGTTCATGCAAGGCACCGTACACGTACTATAGATGTTATGATGAAATATCTTCAAAGTAGAAAACAGCTACATGATTTAAGTATTGCAAACTCATTCTCGTAGATTTAAGTTTTATTATACTCCATGCAGTTCACAAACTAAACAAATTACACTTTATCAATAATAGCACTCTCGAAGTACTATGGCAAGCAACGGAAATCACTCAACTTTCCAATTATTATTATGGACCTGAAATGTTAGGGTTGAGTCACCCTTACTAGTCCAAAGCTGGAATTTCTGAAATCAACACATTTGAAATCAAAATGTTTGCACATCAATAATATCGCTCCACGGCTGAACACATTTTCTCTTTCTGCGGTAGCCTAAATTTTCAGCCGTGCTAATTTTAGCTTTTCAGCGGTTGAGGCTAAATTTGGTCCTCTAGCAAAATGATCACCAGCATTGCATTACATCTGGGCTCTCTTCACTGTATTCACTGTTCCGAAGTTCACTTCAATATTATCAGTCCATTAAACAGATTATGCATCATTTACACATGATAAATGCAACAGGTAGATTCCGAGTTTTTCAACACAAATTACGTAACGATCATACACTTTTCCCCTCGTCTCAAGCAAGAATGTCCCAATTTGCTTTTCAGGATAACTTTCTAGAAGACAACTGCCTCTCTACTGCCCTTATTGGAACGATTCCAGCAAACACCGTGCAATTATATCACCTTTGGACAGATGGGGAAAATTCCGTTTCACCGTACAAATCAACCTAGGCCAAGAAGAACACTTTCACACCAGCTAAACCACTGAATAACTACGGCAAAAAGGTGAATGAGAATGTTACCAAATAGATTCAAACACTTACTGCTCTACAAGAAAATGGAAAAACGCACTGATCCGGCGACCGTCGTCGAACTCAGTGCTGCTGCAAGCGATGACTGAATCGAGGAAAACCAGCTGCCCGATTCTGAAGTCTTAATTTTCTCTGCTTTTCTCACACACACACATACACACAGCTACACGAAAAGAAAGGAACGTGGATATGTGTGTATGTTTATGTGACGGACGAGACGATGGATCAAGATCGCAGCACTGCGATCGTGAGTATATAACAGGTTGGGATTTAATACATAACTCCGCGCATCGGGTGTACTGAGACGTGGGAACATACATATGTTTCATCCTGGGAAATCTGTGGGAAAAGTGCGATAGATGCGCGCCTTGCAATTTGCCATCATGCAGAGAACACTGTTTGAATGTATGATAGATATCTCAAAGGAAAATGTAAAGCGTGTAGTTTTTTTTTAAGAAACACTCAAATCTTCCAACAAATAGCAATGCAACGATTTGGATAATTGCAACTAAATAAACCATCCTTACAGTATTCAAATGTAAGTGAAACGAATTACGTCAAACAACAGCCGGTGGTCATAAACATCTAGCGCCATACGATGAATTTGGTAGGATTGGCAACTTTCTACCTACTGGAACTTTGCGTCTACCCTCAACTTAGAGTGAAAGCAGGTGACCGAACGGACAAACGATTTTATTAACAGTCCAAACACGATGCCTCCGGTTAAATGTGTAGCCGCAATGTTGAAAAATCATTGCTCAGCAATTTATCGATAGATTTTAAAACTATTTATACAAAATAAATCTTTTAAGTTTTTTGTATCAAATGGCGTCAATATATTTGAAATTCGTCAATAAATGGCTGAATTATATTTGTTTAAACATTTCAAGTTTGCCGTTACACATTTTACCGGAGGTATCGTGTTCGGAGTGTTAATAGTTGTTATTCCTGTTGCTGGTCAGCTCGGTCGCCAGCTTTCACTCCGGCTGCGGGCTTAGAGTTCTTTGTTCACCACCACAGTGTGTCCTGGGGAGTCAAGAAAGTTTCAAAACAGAAAAAAAGATTGAACAGAGAATTGAACCTACCACCTACGTTATGCTATGCTGCGCTTGGACTTTCCGCTAGGCTTTCTGCGAACCAGATGGTTTTGATCGAAGTATATCGTTGTCTTGACTTAATTTATGGAGCTTCCTTGACTCCGCTGGTAATTATCATTGCATCAATAAGAGGTTCTGACTGTATTTTTTTTTTATTATCTTGGACTTTTGATCGCTAAGGACACTTGAGAATATTCGAGGTTGACGCCAAAAGTTTTTTCACACTTACATTACTGTGAAACAACTGCAAACTGTAGTGGGAAGTTTATCTGTAGCTGTAACCAATTTACTTTTGTTGACAAATCTGGGCAAGATGTTTATATATTACCTTATTTAAAGCTAAATCGTTCGGCTCAAATTTTATTGAGGTAAGAGGGTTGACCATTATCTTCATCATCAATTTATAACATGCTATAAGCCTATCTTGATGACATTTGACTTGTTGATAATTGTTATAACACCCTTGTAACATGTAATAATCTTTAGAGGAATTATGCATGAGAAAGTATAACATGTTACTTTAAGTTTTCAGTAGTAAATGTTGTCCGAATTGTTGACGGTAGATTAGATTCAGTCCAAAAAAGATATTATTTTGCTTAAATCTCACGCTAGCGAATAAATCTATGAAAAGTCTTCTGCCATTTTTAGCTTCTATATCCACCTACTCTCGTCGTGTTCCATCCATTTTCAGAATATTTTCAAATTCTTCATCAATTTTCTTTCTATCTGCGCGTGCTGCTAACGACAGCAAATCAGAATCTTCCCTGCACATCGTTTAAAAAATTCATGTAAATTTTTGCCATACATACACAGTCCGAAAAAGTAGTGTTCAATATGATGCACATAAATGGAGCGTCACATATCATATACGTTTACATTATATATCATGCTATATATAAGCTATGACACATTTCATGCAATGTAGCAAATATTGTATACAAAAGCCCATCTTTGTAAACCACATTGTTTGCAAGTTGCTCGGTTGCGTGAAATGAAATACAAGTCTACGTGAATGAACGTTACATCACAATTAAAATTCAGAATTTTTATCTGTGTAGATCACATGTTAGATTTGGCGTAAGTTTACACTATATTTCGTGTAACTTTAAGCACAAAATCACATAAGCTGCCAATGTTGAGTACAAGCTTGAGTGGAAGTGCTGCTACTGTACCTTTCGATCAATGGCAGTTATTGATGGTAAGCTCCCACAAAATAGTTAAAATACAAAACCTTGCTGCCGATTTGTATTTTGCTTTTTCTGCCCATCTCTCCCTCTGAGTATATCTAGTAAATACTACGGAAATCTCATGTAACTTTCGGTACTTTAAGACCGATATATACGAGCGTTACATTATGACATAAAACTTAAGCTTCAAAGTTGGGAAATTCAGATCAATCAATCGTAATTTTTATAAATGCTACATATTTTTCGGTATCGAAGCACTTGATTCTACATGACATCTCTGTTTAAGTTTCATTCGTTTCATCAAATATGCATAACGTGTTAAAGTAATTTTTCTAATTGTGTAATTTAAAAAGGTTGACTATTTAACTGAATGGAATTGGTCAATTCTATCCGGCAGAACTTGTATAAAATTAAAACTGATTAACACTCCGAATACGATGCCTTCGAAAAATGTGTAACGGCAAGTTTGCAATGTCATAACTTAGCCATTTCTTAATGAATTTCAAAAATTGTGGTACCTTTAGAATTCCTAGGGTTTGTAGATGATGATGAGCTCTAGAATCAGTTCCATACATTGACCACTTTTACGGATTTTTCGGATCTTCCGGAGGACGGTCTGATGGCCATCTGGGTTCATGTTTATGTCACGATCCCAAATTCATTCTAATATCACAGTTCCTAACGTTTTCAAGAAAACCACAGAGCTCTAGGATCAGTTTTTTGAATTTTCCACTTCCACGGATGTTTCGGATCTTCCGGAGGACGGACTCATGGCCATCAAGGTTCATGTTTATGTCACAACCCCAAATTGCTTCTATCATCACAGTTCCTAATGTTAAAACAATGCGGAGCTCTAGGATCAGGATCGTGGATTTACTACTTTACGGATGTTCCGGATCTTCCGCTGAACGTTCCCATAGACATCCAGGTTCATGTTTATGTCACAACCCCAAATTGCTTCTATCATCACCGTTCCTAATGTTAAAAAAAAATGCGGAGCTCTAGGATCAGGATCGTGGATTTACTACTTTACGGATGTTCCGGATTTTCCGCTGAACGGTCCCATAGACATCCAGGTTCATGTCTATGTCACAACCCCAAATTGCTTCTATCATCACAGTTCCTAATGTTAAAAAAAAATGCGGAGCTCTAGGATCAGGATCGTGGATTTACTACTTTTACGGATGTTCCGGATCTTCCGCTGGGTCTATGTCCCAAATTCATTCTTATATCACAGATCCTAATGTTAAAAAACGCGGAGCTCTACGATCAGTTTCATGGATTGTCCACTTTTACAGATGTTCCGGAGGACGGTCCCATAGCCATCCAGGTACATGTTTATGTCACGACCCCAAATATTTTTTTATATCACAGTTCCTAATGTTTTCAAAAAACAGCAGGGCTCTAGGATCAGGTCCATGGATTGACCACTTTTACGGAAGTTCCGGATTTTGTGAGGACCGTTCCGTTGTCTCCAGGATCCATATATAGGAAGCATGACTGTTTTCTGACTAATTGTGAACATTTATGCCCAAAAATCTAAATTATAGATCTTGCGCCACTTGCAAAACCCTACAAACACACTTTTCAAAAAAATGTGTATCAACTCTTTTCACTTTTAAAAAAAGTAGACCACTCTATTTTCAATCTTTTTGCAATCAAAATCATCTACAAACCCTAGGAATTCTAAAGGTACCACAATTTTTAAAATTCATTAAGAAATGACTAAGTTATGACATTGCAAACTTGCCGTTACACGTTTTTCGGAGGCTTCGTAGTCGGCGTAAAGTTTTTTACCCACCGTATTCGGAGAGTTAAAGAAATCACACTTAGAAATAACTACTTTTACACGAGACGTAATCCATATTGGACGTAAATCATAGAACGTAAACAAACATATCATGTAAAATTAAGTGTTCTCAAACCGAAACATCAGCTAGTCGACGAAGAGAACGTTTGATTGAATTGATTTTCACGTTTCTTTCAACTGATTCTTATGTCAAAAGGCCCGCTTACATGTGTCGGTCTCAGGGAACCGAAATTTACATGACTTTTTAGTAGTGTGCGTACACACTTAGAAATACCAAATATATTACATTAACAATATGATCCACTCTTTTGCTTAGCTGGCGAACCAAATTTTTGGCGATGAAAGCACCTTTGTGGCCGAAAAGGCTACCAATGTATTTGTTTATCGTCACGAGGGGTAAACCAAATTATTTTTTTTTTTATATTTCAAATGAATGTATTTCAGCATATTATTTTATTTGATGACAACAGTGACATGTCAGACAAATGTTAAAGTTATATACACAATGTAATTAATGAAAATAATGTGACTGTTACTTTTGTAATAAGTGCTATATACGCACCCTTCGACTGTAATTGAATGATTGTTGCTTACCTTTTTCAACGCTAGATGGTGCGTGAAGCGATATTATGCGGGTCGCCATTGCAATATTTGGAAAAGGCATGAATGGATCATATTGTTAATATGATATATTTGGAAATACCTAATCTTGCACGTGACGGAATCCATCTTTGACATAAAGGATGAGACGTAAACAAATATGTCATGTAAAATTAGGTGCTCCGAGACAGAAAGGTTCGTTACTCGACGAAAAGTACGTTTGATTGAGCTGAATCTTGCGTCTATTATGACTCAATTTTGTGTCAAAATTGATCATGTTTTGATGTATTTGATATCATCCACGTCCAGAGGGCCATTCACTTTCGAATGTATGGGAATGGTAGGAAACCATTTGGAAATGCATGACAATTTTCAGTTTTTATTCATTATCGTCTTTATGAGCAGTTTTAGATGCACAAAAAT